TTGCATAAATTGAGAAAAATATGAAAAGTTTTTAGGTGAAATTTTGTGTACAAGTGATAAGCAGAAAGAGTTTATTATATAGTTTGACTGAAATTATGATTTTGATACATCTATAATAAAAAGATTAAAAAAGTAGTTTTGGTATTTTCTGTCTATAATACTCGTGTCTATATTTGTATATTGTATAAAAAAAATTATACACATTTATGCGTTTGTATAATTTGATTAGAGCTAGTGCATATTTGCAATCACAAAATCTGCATATAAACTTGATACTTATTGTATAGTATATATGATTGCAAATTTTACATATTATTCTAGAGTTTTTCCACTTATATATAATAATAATAGTAATATATTTTAAACTACTAACCAAAGTAATCAAAAATATTGTAAAATAAATAATTAATCTGGCTTTAAGATAACATTATACAATACGTTGATGGATCTTTTGTGTAGAAAAAGAACTATAGCCCATATATTTTTTTCATTTTATTATTTATTTTATTAGTTTTAATATTTATTTGTTATTATTATTATATTCTTGTTATGCTATTATATATTTATCCATATTTATTTACTTCATTATGCATAGAATTATTATGCATAAGATCATTATACATAAGATCATTATACATGATATAGTATCATTATGTTTGTATTAGTACCAAGCATGAATTGAGTGTAATAATAAATAGCTTTATAGTAAAGGTCAGAGAATAAAGAGTTAGTATTAGTAACTGTAATTTATATAAAAAGGCAAGTAAAAAGATTTGTAGAGACAGATTTTGATACCCTTAAACCTATCTCCTAATAAAAACCAAATTTATTTCGAACCTATAATTTCAATTACAAAATTATAACCTCTTTTTTGTTTTATAACTTCTAACAATGGTTTCCACTACTGAATGTAGAGTCGAAAATGCAGATTATAAAAAAATTTTTATGTTGATGATCAAAAATTATTCTGCGAATTTTGTTAATATATTGTAAATTATATAAGAAAATCTACAGTAAATTCTCATTTAAAATCAGAAAAACATAAACATAATATTAATAAAGCCAAAAAATTAAAATCAAATTATCAAACAACTCTTGATATAGCCAATATTAATGCAAATGAATAGGAGCTTATTAATATTGCTTTAGTAAATGCATTTACTAAAGCTGATATTCTTTATACAAAGTTGATAAGCTCAAAAGCTTTTTTTAGAATACTGTAAAAATAGTAAATTATTTTATTCAATATATTTTATTTAAAAAAAGTAATAATATATTAATTTTATTAGGTGGTGTTATTGTAAATTCAAATCAATTTTGTATTAAATATTTGCTAAAAGTATTTAATATTAAAGTTTCAAAGTTACAAAATCTTGTAAAAGACAAGCAAATTTCTGTTACTATTGATGAAACTACAGATACATGCAATAGAGCTATTATTTATAGAGAATTGCTATTTTCACCCCCTATTTTTGCTAATCCCACCCTTCATATATCAAAAAGTGCCTGGAAGAGGTATTTTTAATAAGTAAATCCTTATTTTGGCCTTAATAAAAGTTGTTCATCAGACCTTTTCGGTTCTAATGATAGTAAAATCATTAAAATCGGACCAATAGTTTTATTTTAAAGTAAATAAAAGGTAACTAACTTCGGATATATATATCTTAGGAACTGCTAGTCCGATTTTAATGATTTTACCACCACTAGAACCTGATGAACAACTTTTATTAAGATCAAAATAAGGGTTTGCATAATATAATACCTCTCCCAGAGCACTTTTTTAAATTTTGAAGAGTGGAATTAGCAAAAATGGGGGGTGAAAATAGCAATTATTTATTTATATATTGTTTAGTTTTAATAACCAAACTAAACTTGCTAAAACAAAATTTATTACAATGATAGATAGTACTTCTATTACGCAATTAGTTATTAAAACTTTACAATTTTATAGTATTTCGTTTGATAATCTTATTTTTTTTATTTCTGATAATGCGCTATATATGTTAAAAGTATTTCAGATTATATCTTCATTAGTTCCACAATTAAAACATAAGTGTTGCTTGACCTATATTTTAAATTTAGTTAGAGAAACTTGGGTCTATTATAAAAATTTTAAATTTTTAGCTAATATTGCTAAAAATATTAAGGCAATGTTTATTCAATCTCCAGTATGTAAACAATATTAGATTAGTTTTTTAGAATCTAATTTTAATTCTGATTTATTATTAGAAGATAAAAATAATACTGCTACTTTACTGCCATTACCTATTAAGACAAGATAGAACTTGTAGTTTCAGTTTATTTTTTGAATTAATAAAAATACTACTCAGTTATAGTTGTTTTATTTTGAGGAAGAACGAATTAATAATGAAAGTCAAGCAATTTAAGAATTAGCAACTATTTTTAAAAATGATACAAATGTTTTTTTTTTGAAATTCTAACCATGTTTATATTATCTAATGCAATACGGTATGTACTATTTTTTTTTTAAAAAAAATTAATTTTATCTTATTCGATTTTAGTTTTGTAAAAGATCTTAAATTTTTTAAAATTAGGAAAAAACTTGTTACTCCATTTGTAATACAACATCTAATCTATTTTGAAGCATTATTACAATTAGGAATCATTGAACCTCCTTTTAGTAAAGAAATTAAGCACAAATTTGATGATAATTATCTTAATATAAAAATTTATATTATCATGTTTCATGAAGCATATCAATTAGCATTTAACAAGTTTAAAAAACATATTGCTTAACACCTAGCATTGTCTTTGTTTAAGGCTATTTAATGCTTTGATTCACGATTTATACATCTCTAACAAAATTGGAAAAATATTTATTTGTATTAGAAATTCAAAAATTTAAATTACCAAGTGATCAAATTCTTCAAGAATGAAATATTTATTGTAGATTAAATAAAGATATTTACTGGAGGAAAAAAATTTGAAGTTTATCCAACTTATTAAAATTAGCCTTAGATTATATTTGGATACTAGCATCAGATGTGGATATCGAATGAAGCTTTTCTGTATATAAGAATATCCTTGATGATAATTGGCATTTACTTTCTGAAATGTCTATTGCAACATTAAATTTTATGTACTTCAATGGCCATATAGAAGAATAGTTCTTTTTTTTATTTTATTTTTTAAATTAGATATTTTTTTTAAATTAGAATTCGATAAAAAATTTATATAATTTTATTTGTTTTATTTATTTTAAATTAATTGAAATAACAATAAAATTAAGTTGTTACATATTTGTGAGGTAATTACATGTTTCTACTATGAGGTAATTGCATATTTCTATTTAATTCACATAATTTTTTGCATAATTTCAAATTTTTATTATATAATCTTGCATAAATGGATAGGTAGTATATACAAAATTTAGGGTCTGTTGCTGCAGAAAATAAGGAGTCCTAAATTTGACAATAATAAGCTTTGGATTTAAACTGGTTTCCAGTTTATAGTTTAATAATTTTATTATTATTAAAACTAAAAAAGCTTGATAAACAATTTTTATTAAAACCAAAAAGAGGTTTTCATAAAACAACACCTCTTTTGAACCATTTTTTTAAATTTTAGAAGGTAATATTAGCAAAAATAAAAGTAAAAATAACAATTCTCTATAATATTAAAAATAATACAAAATGAACAATATTAAAACTTTAATTTAATTAAGGACTTTATAATTTATTGCTATAGCAATGTATCGCCACCTGGGTCTAAGTTAAATCAAAATCCTGAACATCGAAATTCTAAAAATCAAAATTCCAAATCTTAAATGTCGCACTGTGTGATGTCAGAGTTTCAATATTCAAGCCCCACCTATGATTAGTAATATAGATTACCTATAGACTCTGCCAGGAGTCTAGACACTTTTGCAGTAACATGATGTGGTGTATTGTAATATATTCGGATAAGCTTTTTTGGTTTATGTTGTATTTTCAGTTAAGGTTCGTGGTTATAGGCCTTGAAAGATCATCTACATATGTAAAATTATGTTTCCGACATTTTTTGTTAGTGACAAAAGGCCGATTTAAACACTAATTTTTGAGTATTTTCACTTTTTTCTCTTTTTTTCTTCTTGCACACATGTTTTGTTTTGACGTCGGGCTGATCCGGGATGATCAAAAATTGCGCATCCCAATTGGCCATTTCTCATACACTACATCACGTTACTGCAAAAGTGTCTAGACTCCTGGTGGGGTTATTACCTATAGGTTACTAATCATAATCGGGGTTTAAGTATTGAAACCCCGACAACATGTGGCGTGACAAATAAGTCTCAGGAGGGTAGTGATATATCGCTATGGTGATAAAAAATAAAATTCTTTAATTAATATAAAAATTTATAATTTTTAAAAAATGTTTTTTTTTAACTTTTTTTATAGCTAGATTAGAGTTAAGATTATAAAAAAATATAAATAAATTTTAATAAAGTTTATATTTTTAAATTAAAATCCAAGTTCATTATTATCCTGTTTTACCATTATTTTAATATATAATATAGCTAATAAAATTTATTAATATCAACCCATTTGGATTGAGCAATTATGTTGATATATGCGAGGGTTGACAATATATATCGGGATAGTTTTTATATACCCTAAGTCTATTTTGTCTTAATAAGAGTTGATATTAACGGGAAGTTGATATTAATGAGGTTGATATTAACGGGGGTCAAGTGTACTTTTTAATTATATTTTGTACAGTAATAGTATTAAGAGAATGACTATTTATACAGTACTACATATAATAATTCACTAGTTTTATTATAGTATTACAAATCTGTTTAACCTTATATTAGATTTAAATAATAATATACAAATATTTGGAAGAAGGTTAGTAGAAAAAAGCCTATTTTTTCTAAATAAAAGTTTTCTTAACTTTAAACTTAACTATCTTAATAACTAAGCAAATTTAATAAATTTTTTTGTTTATTTTAATTTTATACAATATAAAATTTAATTAAATAGTTGTTAAAATATTTCAATTTATAACTCTCCCCATTTATAGTTTGTAGATCTTTTTATTATACAATTAGCATTTATGACTTATATCAAATTCTTTATTAAATGTATATCTATTTAAAAATCAAATTTTTTGAAAAATTGTCAAAATAACCTTTTTAATACAAGACATTTATATAATATGACAATTTATAATTATTCCGACTAATAAATGCACGCTTCATGTTATTAGTATCCGAATATTATATAGAATGTGCGGCAATTTGGGCATTTGATTGGGTTATAGGTAGACCAGCAAGCTTTTTAGAAAGATAACCTCTGTTTTTATAATCAGAATACCATTCTACAAAAGCAAAAATTAAATAATGAAATCAATATAATATATCATAAGTCAAACTCACAAATAGAGTGAGAATTACCGATATCCTTTGCTTTGACTGGAGCAGCAAATTTTGGTATCTTCCAAAATTTCTCTGGTTTTATAGTAGCCCTTAAAGCAAGTCTGTTATAATATCTACAGGTAATCTTACCACCAACTTTCTCAATAGCTTTAATTGCCGCTTGAGAAGCACGGGCGACCTCAATTGTAATTGGGGTTTTCAAATAATCTACACCCTAATGGAAAATATTTCAAAATTTAGTTTTGTGAATAGGAAAGAAAACGTGAATAATACGAATCAGATTACATCAGCCAACAATTTGACACCATCTTTAACGCCATGTACACATCTAGTATCTAAAAGATGTTTCATCGTAATTGGTTGTGAGGGATCAATTCTACCGGTATTTATCCAATGCTGGAGACGATCAAGGTTCAAAGGTGCATAAGTTTTTCCACCCCTATTTTCGAAACAGGTAAAAATTCATCGTGTTAAGAAATAAATATTTCGCGAAAATGGACGTACCGATTGTGAAAACCACGTTTTGGAAATGCTACACTAATGGGAGTCTGACCGCCTTCGAAGCCACGTCTTGGCTTGCCATTACCACCTCTCGCTTTTTGACCCTTTTGACCTCGACCGCAAGTTTTACCATGCCCTGAGGCAGGTCCGCGACCGACACGTTTACGCTATTAGAATAAATTCTATTAAATTTTACAAATGAATAAAGTAACTTTTGACTCTCAATAAAACAACCTGCTTTGTTGCTCCAGGGTTATCACTTAAATTTCCTAAACCTAACAAAATTCTGGGTTTTTGTAAAATTGTTACATACGTTCGGAAAATTGAACAATTTGATTTTGGAATTGAATGTATATTTTTTGAAAATTGAGCGAATTGGAACATCATTATTGTCTACAAAATGAAAGTCAGGGAATCATGATAATCGGTTCTCTAAACGCACGGACCTTTTTCCGGGTCGACAGTTATGTGTCACATAGAAGTTATGAGACATTTCACTGTCACGTGACACATATAATAACTGTCTTTTTACTATTACAGTATTAAACTTATTAAACTGTGCAATTACCGTTTAACACTTTGTGAAAGAGATATAACGCTAAACGATAATATCTTTAATGCTGTCGCTTTGATAAGTTTCTAATTGGTTTTTCCCTCTTCTTAACAAATACTCTATTGCCGCATGATCCCTTGGTGAAATTTTGTGTTGTCGAAACTGGGTTCTTAGAAATTGTTGAAACCTGTTTTGTGTTTCCTTTTAAAATTTTATACGTCTGGATTAAAATGGCATGAATTTACGAATTAATACGCAATATCGATATTAACTTACCGGTGGTTTTCTTTTTACAGCTTTACAACATTCACGATAAAATTTGATCACTTCAATTTGCAATCTTGACCGCCGGATACCAACACTTAAAGCCGTAGGAGTAGGAAACATGGTTGATACGTATCTGATGATTCTAAAGTGTTACTTATTCAAATGTTTTTAGAAATCACAAATTTGTAAATTTCCTAATTGAAATACATTACGTATAAGATCAACATAACTGATATTTCTATATAGTTTCGGTAAATACTGGGTTATATATTAGTTATATTGTCTACCCGACTTTTTCTACATTCCCTCAATAAAGATGACGGATCAATCAATTTTTGGTCGTTTTCAGGCGAATGACGTTCCGTACGTGGCCTTTCGAGACGATAACGAAGATCCCGAAGAAGAATTTTCAGAAAGCTTGGTTCTGCGTCCAACACCGAGTACTTCGTCACGGACTGCACCTTCAACATTCCAAAATTTTACTACAAACAGGCAACAACGTTATCAGCATTTGCCTGAGGACGATGAAATTGAAGAAGACTCTGATCAAGAGAGTAATGAGGCACCCGCTTCATTGATAGTAGAGATGCCTCAGCAGCGCAGCAAAAAGACTCACCCAAGCCCAAGACCAGGAATGAACATACGAGAATTAACAATGTGGAAATGGGTCAACGTTGAAAACTTAGACTTGTTTTTTGAGCAGGTTTTTTTTTGATATTTTTTTTTTTGATGCTTTTTTAATTTTTTATTTTTACTGATCTCTAAACCTTTTTATGTTTTAAGGTTTATGCGTATTATGTTGGAAAGGGCTTTTACTGCATTTTGTTGAGTAGATTTCTGAATTTACTGTAAGACATTAACATTCACTTCATTCAGCTTCATTTTTTATTGTTTAGTATGTTTGCTTTGCCGATTTTCCATTATTTGACCTACTTTAATTTGTTTGACTTAGGACACTCGGGTTTATCATTAGTTTTAGCACTTTCTTGCTGGAATGCGTTGATTACTCTCTAATAAAGCATAATAACACCTTATCCAATGTTATAATACCTCATTGTCTTAGTCGGTACGCGTTTATCTGTTATCACGATTAAATTATTCCAACGATGGGTCATCTAACTTTTTGTTATTGTCATGAACAAAGATTTTCAGGATGGTCAATGTTATTTATTACATTGTTTTCTATTGCTTGGGTGTGGCAAGCTGTGAGACTTGTCTTGGATATTCGTCGTCTGACAGACATGTTTAATTTTTATACCTACCTTTTGAATATTCCTGATGTATGTTGATTTGATCGTTATATGCCATTATGAATACATTTATTAGTATGATATCTAAATTGTTTACATATTAGGTCGATATACAAACTATACCATGGCAAAAAGTAGTTAACCGCATAATCGAGCTCAGAGAAAATAACCCTACTACTTCCCATCAGGGACCTAACAACAAACCTCAACAACGTCTGGATGCACACAATATAACTAATAGAATTATGCGTCAGGAGAATTATCTCATCGCCCTCTTTAATAAGGATATGCTGGATCTTACTATACCAATCCCCTTTTTTAGACAAAAAAACTTTCTGACAAAAACCCTTGAGTGGAATTTACGATATTGTATCATAAATCATGTGTTCAATGACCAAGGACAGGTCAGAAGGCATTTTGTTAAAGACACCAGAGGTGTACAAAGGGAGAGATTGACTCAAGGGTATGTCATAATAATGTAGATTTTTTTCACCTTAATCATTCTTGATAATGGGTCAATTCATAAATTCTTCTTTTATACGTGTTCGTTATATTAATGCAGTCTGCGTCGTCGCTTCATCTTCATGGGAATTCTTAATATCATATTCGCTCCTTTTATAGTGGTTTATCTGCTCATATATTTCTTTTTCCGTTATTTTGAGGTACGCTTCAAATTTCAAAACTTTAAACATATATATATATATTTTTTATAACACGGTCTTTTTTTTTTAGGAATACCGTAACAACCCTAAGAACATTGGTTTGCGTCAATGGTCTCCTTTTGCACGTTGGAAATTTCGGGAATTTAACGAATTACCCCATTTATTTGATCAGAGATTGAATAAGAGCTACAAGCAGGCAAACAAATATATCGACCAATTTCCAAGAGAAAAGACGACCTTGCTCGCAAAGTAAATGTTGCATGACATCGACTTCATCAAATTTGTCTACAAGTGACCTAATCGAATTATTATTTATTTTTTCAAAAAAATAAAGATTTATATCTTTTATAGCTAGTTCACTCACTGCCGTGTTACTTCTTGCCAGTATTATTGATTCCGAGGTTTTTTTGGGATTTGAAATTTCGCCCGGTCGTACCGTCTTTTTTTATCTCGGAATATTGGTTCCGATTGTGGCTATTAGTCGTGGAATGAGTGTGGAAGATCATGTTGTTTTTGATCCAACAGTCAGGTTAAAGAAAGTTGTAGAGCATACACATTATTCTCCCGACAATTGGAAAGGGAAACTAGATACTGACGATGTATGAAATATTATCCATGTTTTATTTATCAAATGCTAAACTTTGTATTTACGTCACGAACAATGTAAACTTGATTTAGGTCCGCAGAGAATTTATTCAGTTGTTTCAAGTCAAGATTGTGCTTTTTATTCAGGAAATACTTAGTGTTATTTTCACACCATTTGTCCTTTGGTTTTCCCTTCCGGATTGTAGTCATATCCTTTTTTTAAGAATTTAATTATTAGTATAGTTGCTATTAAGATACAGTTTCCATGAGATTTCCTTAACCATATTTATGCTTTATTGTACAGCAAATTATTGATTTTTTTAGAGAATTCACTGTGCATGTAGATGGTCTTGGATATGTTTGTAGCTTTGCAGTATTTGATTTCAAGAGACATGGTAATGTGAAGGTAACTATAATCATATAATTTGAAAGTCATTTATAAGTAATCTGATTTTGATAGACAACTTTCATTTTTGAAGTATGGTGCTCCGGCAGAAGTCGAGAACGAATATTACCTTTCGAAAGATGGTAAAATGGAAAAAAGTTTCTTGAATTTTAAGGTCAGCATATAACTTGGATAGTTTCTACAGTTTTATTTATTAAAGAAAAAACTAATCACATTTTAATTCATTTATTCTGTAAGGCTAATCATCCCGATTGGGAACCTACCGATCCGGCCGGATCGCTTTACCTTAGTCGACTTAATTTCAGCAATCAAGTACATTCAGAACGTCATGAACGTCATGAACGTCATAATTCAATTCGTTCTGCCCATATAGATTCAATACTAAAGAATAATCGACGTAGCAGTAATAATGTTCATTTCGGATATGCTCCTAACTATAATTATGCAGGTAATACTGCTACTGGAGCTGGAATAAATTCCACGATAGATGATAGGCCATCATCATATGTACATAACAATACGTCACGAAATAGTTATCGTGTTAGTGATCAGTCTACTTCAGACGTCCAAAGTTCACCGGATTCAAGTCAAGAAGAACATTATGCGAGCGATCTGAGTGGTTCATTCTTCTTACCCGGAACAAAATATGGTGGTGTTGCACATCTATCTGAATCCAATGAACCTGATCGACCACGACATGATGGTGTAATTGGATTATTAAACCAATTTTATGAACTCAATAATTCATCTATGTAGAAGTATTGGTTATAAAAACTGTAATTAATTTTATTATGGGATATATTCGGTGATGGGTTATTTTTGTAATGTATGATTAGGATTAAATCTGGTGGTCAACATAGACATAAGTGAAGATATGTTATTTTAGAATCATTATTATTTTTTTAATCTTTTGATTTTAATAATATAATTTAAAAATCAAAAAAAAAAAAAAAAAGTATTTTTACATAATTTTTTAAGTCTTATAACCATTTTGAAGATTAAAAATGCGAAACTGTGATTAGGACAATAATAGACAAGTATAAAAATTTAAAATTAGCAATTTTACAAATATTATCTATTTAAATTCTATTCACAAAATGACCAAACTTTAACAATTCCTGCTTCTTCCACTATGTCTGCATTGGAATTAGACCCTGTTATTATATTTTTAGAAAGGGATAGTCCTGGCCATCCAGACGGAGATGGTAATGATTTTGACATTTGCGCCTCTTGATCATCAAATGCCTCACCGTTACAGACACTCACAATTCTACCCTCATCAAAACCAACCCATTTAATGCCCCAATTTTTTATTTTACTTTGAGAAATATTACAACTTGAGTCATTAAATCGACTCAACGAATCATTTAATGTAACAATACATTCGCCATGTTTCTTTCTTCGTGCAATTAATCCAACGAACGAAAAATCATCATTATGATTATAGTGATATCCCTTCAACTCTCGTGCATTAACATTATTGTTCTGAGGATTATAATTTTTCTCTGGATTCCAACCTAAATCCCATATCTTGATGGTTTGATCCATAGCACCAGTAATCAATTTACCATTTTCATCCATAGCAACAGACATGACACTTCCTGTATGGCCGTACAATGTTTGAACATGCTTGCATTCCAAAGTCTTTCCGTTATCAAGCACGTAGTACACTTGTAATGTATTATCAGCATGAGCTGTAACCAATTGCCCAGAATTATATGTAATTGTTGTTATAGGAGCAATTGAAACAAATGGTAGAGTTGTTGATGATGGCAAATATGAACAATGCTTCGTCGAAAGCAGCGTAATGGTTGAAAACTTAATCTCTTGAATGCCTGCGGTCCAACCCCCTCCGTACATTGGGGTAGAATAAACAATTGTAGCAATCCAAATGTTCTGTTCAACATCATAATTCGTTGCTGATTGATCAAGTTTCTCTTGGGAACACTTGATTGATATCTCAATAGGTGTCCAACAAACAAAACTTTTCAATTGATGTATGAGTTGGCATTCGACTAGATTCTCATAAATGAAAAAGTTTTTATTGTCCTTGGATGAACCTGGTTTTTCTTTATCTCTTGATTTGAGGTCAATGTAATAAATTGAAAGTACAAAATCTTTGTTACAAGTGATCAGAATTGGGGAATCTAAAGAACAAGCAATTAAAGGACTTGCATTATTTGATATTATTGGGATAGTATATAATTCTCGATGCTTCCAGTCATTTTCAGGTTTTTCATTTTCGTCCCTTTCTAATGTATCAAATTCCCAAATGGTAAATCCACCATTTGAATATCCGGAAACAAATTTACATACGCCTAAATGGTCATCTCGTTCATTGCTATCGAGTTTTAAACATGTTATATAGATGGGATTTTTACATCCGTGAGTTGCGCTAATACGAGATAAAATGATGCTTTTCAGAGTATCTATATGTTCATTATGTTTGCCAGCTCGCCATAGGTGAATTTCTGGGATATTATTTCCGTTAGGGTTTGAGGACGAAGCAGTCAAAATAATATGTTTTGTAAATTGAACAAGCGGATTGGAATTTGTGTTAAATGAAAACACTTGATTTTTAATATATCCAGTCAAAAGTGAAAGGGAATTTTGAACATGATCACGATCTTGAACCAAATTATCATAAGGTTTAAAATCGATAACATGACAATTTCCAGTTTGCCAATTGTGACTAACTCGATATATATTTTTCCAATCTTCGCTATCTGAAATATCATTTTCACCTATGCCTTCGTTATTAGCAATTATTGAAGATTTAGGTAGATTAGTTGATAGAGTTTGGGTCAATTGAAGAGTTTCCAAACGATATGTAAGATTAGGGCGATTTGGAGCTTTAAATCTTGATAAAAAAAGACTCTTCCATAACTAGTAAAATTTTAAATAAGATAAATATATATACATATAAACAATAAGCAAATAAATAATCAAGTAAAAGTTCACCTGGCGATCGTTGGCAATTCGCCACCATTTTCGCGAAACTTGAGAACATATGCTTACGTCCACCGCTGATAAATACCTAAAAACATGAAGGTTTAATTCATCCGAAAAAATATTGACAAAATCTTTTTTTACTTCTATGGTATCATTGGCATTCTGAGTAGTATGTCTTGTCCTTCGTTGCTTAGTGCGATCTCGCCCACCGACAAATTTTTTACCGCGAAACATGTTCGAAACATATATTTAAATATATATGAATGATTATTAATATTCGAGATCTGCAGCAATGCTTAAATGTGCATAATTTAACATAAGCTATATAAGCCTAATTGGCCAATCATTTTAATTTTATTTATACAGTTTAGAGTGCTATTTTCATAATTGAACAGAAAAAACCCGTTTCTATCTTCAAATAAAAGATCTCTTGAGAATATACAAACAATCAAAAATTAATCAAGTATCACGTCAAGTCAGTGTGGTCTTTCTGGATTACCTGCAAAAGGAAGAATAATAAGGTCGGCAGCATCCTGCCGATGAGTGGGAGAAACGAGAATCTCCCAGGAGACAAAATGCTGCTTAGGCGAGTTGCACTTGGGCATTTATGTTGGGTAAGTTTTTTTTTTTTTTTTAAAAAATCTTCAAAGGTGAGGCGTTGGGTAAGTTTTTATTAGTTTAAAACAATAGTATATAATATAATATAATAAAATATTTATATTTTTATGTTTTGATAATTTGGCTATTCTGCCTCTGCTTATTGAGATCAAGCTAATTAAAATTAAATGTTATAATTAGCAATACAGTAATAGGTTTTAATTCTAATTGGCCAATTTGTTAATTGACCAATTATATAATAGCCCTATATCACATGATAGAGGCATGCCTCTTAAACCTGTGCCCCCAACCCTATTTAGCATAGCTTTAGATTATTTTTGATTACCTATATCTAGTTGTAGTACAGAGTATAACTTTTCTATATATTTATAATAATATTTTAATTAGTAATAGGCAAAATCTTTCTGAAATTTTTTAAAGCATTAAATATAATATATTTAACAAATAAAATATTCACGGAATGTGCAGAATTTAAAATTTTATTACAGAATTTTTCAAAGAAATAATTATATTTACACCGAGTGAATTACTCACCCCTTAAGTACAAAATGGAACTCCGGTTATGTTAATATGTTAGGGTTGGGGTTAGAGTTGGGGTTAGGCTAAGGTAAAATTGTGAGATGAATATTTTTGTTTGTGTTACACAGTAGATATTGGCATTTTTTCAAATTTTGTTATATGGGGTGAGTAATAAATGTCATAGATTATCGTGAAATTTGGATCTTACGATTTTCAAAAATTTTTGAGAACTTTTTTGTCGGCTTTTTTTTTTATAGTTAACCTAGGATTTAGGGTTAGAATTATTAATGGATAGGAGCACACCCTTTGTACTACCAGTAGTACACTTTATAAAACTCATAGCGAGCTCAAAAAAACAGCAAATTAAAAAGATTTTTTATTTAAAAGACTATCATATATCACTTTATAAATTTATTTATTTTTATTTAATATTTATTATAAAATTAATAAAATTTTATACTACTCAATGTATAGCATTATCCGGCATTCATGGTGTACTACGCATAGTACACAATTAAAAATTTCCGTGTGACCCCCCAAGAAAAATTATGAGTTGCGCATTTAAAATACAATAAAACAGATCTAAATAAACATATATATTACCTTTCAGCACGCCTACTATATGTATCACAAACATGGCCTTTATTCTATTTTACAAATAAAAAAGCGTCGTTATTGGCCAAGAAACATTCCACATGATATAACAAATGCACTTGGAGAGGATTATAGATCATTCGTTAGCAAAACTGGAACATTTAATAGTACTGATCTTGTTTTGTGTTCACTTTGTAATCGTAAGGATATAGTGCTTCTTGCTAGTTGTTCTACAACAAATCCAAAAACAGAAATAAAAAGATATATTAAAGAGCTTGGCACTATAAAA